CCAAGGTGAAAAAAAAAGTGTTAAAGTTGGGTTGCAGTTAAATATTTTAAAAAACCAAGATTATGGCAACCAGACTGAATGATAACTGGCAAATAGAGGGAGAAAACATGGAAGCAGTGACAGACTTTGTATTTCTAGATGTGAAGATTACTGCAGACGTAAACTGCAGCCAGGAAATGAGAAGACATTTACTTCTTGGGAGGAGAGCAATGACCAATCTTGATAAAATAGTGAAGAGTGGAGACATCTGCATAGTTAAAGCAATGGTATTCCCCATAGTAACCTATGGAAGTGAGAGCTGGACCATAAGGAAGGCTGAGCAAAGGAAGATAGATGCATTTGAATTGTGGTGTTGGAGGAAAATTCTGAGAGTGCCTTGGACCGCAAGAAGATCCAACCAGTCCATACTCCAATAAATAATGCCCGGCTACTCACTGCAGGGAAGGATATTAGAAGCAAAGATGAAGTACTTTGGCCACATCATGAGAAGACAGGAAAGCTTGGAGAAGACAGTGATGCTGGGGAAAATGGAAGGAGAAAGGAAGAGGGGCCGACCAAGGGCAAGATGGATGGATGGTATCCTTAAAGTGGCTGGCTTGACCTTGAAGGAGCTGGGAGTGGCTATGGCTGACAGGGAGCTCTGGCATGGGCTGGTCCATGAGGTCACAAAGAGTCGGAAGCAAGTAAACAAATAAACAACAAAAGCCCTCAGAAAGGGAAGTCCAGTTACTACTGCTAGTGCTGCTAGGATTACTACTTGGGATGTGTTACATTGCTGCTGTTGTGTGCCTTTGTGTTATTTCAGATATATTATGACCTTAAAGCGAACCTATTTTTTATTTTTTTTATTTATTATTTGAACTTATATGCCGCCACTTTCCTGGTAAGTCCCGCAAGGTACGGACTTCAGGTGGCAGAGTATTCCAGAGTGATGGTGCCACTGCTGTGAAGGCTCTGCGCCTGGTTGCTGTTAGATGCAAGGTCTTGACACTGGGGACTTCCAATAGATCTTGGTCCTCAGAATGGAGGGATCTCTGGGGTTGGTAGGGGGTGAGGCGGTCCCTATCACAAGGTTTTCTTTGCAAGATTTGTTCAGAAGAGGCTCCCCATGTCCTTCCTTTGAGGCTGAGAGACTGCAGCTTGTCTAAGGTCACCCACTGGGTTTCATGGCTGAGCAGGGATCCAAAGTCATTGTGTAATACTTAAATCACTACACCACACTGGCTCATATGAATTATTTAGTCCTGGGCTTTGTTGAGTATATTTATTTCTTCCTTCTCTCATTTTTTAATTAATATCTGAAAAAGGTTTCTCTGGAGAGGGCCAATTAATTATTTGCTGCCATGAATTCCTAATTGCAGATGTTCATATTGTAAGTCGATCTGAGAATTATATATTTTATAACTGTAATGAGGCAATTTAATTTATTTCTTGGCATGCACTTTATTTATAGGGATCACGGAGGAAATTGGGTGCTGTTTAACCTGGCTGTTATGCTGATTGTTCAAACATTATGAGAAATAATCTTGGCTGCTGTCCTATATTCAGGTCCACATCTGTGTAGGTCACTTAAATTGACAAATGTGCAACTGTGTATGGAATCACAACTCATCTCCATTTGTTCCAATAGTAATGTTTAGCATATTAAAGCTTGCAAAGAGACAGTGTGGCATAATGGTTTGAATGTTGGACTTACACTTTGGGTGAGTGTTCATGACTTTGCTCAGTCACGGAGACCCACTGGGTGACCAGTTAGGGATGTTGATATTTGTGTTGCAAAGCGTCTGAAGAAAAAAAGGTTTTCTGCTGCTGCATTAAGTGATGGTGTCTGAACACATCTGAAAAAAAGGGAAAGAGATTATAATGGCACACTTTCTAAAATTGTAACCTCAGCACTTTTGCTTCTTTTGCATATATTTTTGGCTATGTTTCAGAAATCAGTTGACCAACAGAATAAGCTAGAGCATGACAGCGCCAAGTGCTTATAGACCTGATAAGCAATATTTATTCATCAAGTGTGCCTCTTTATCAGAGTGACTGATGATGATTTTGGCCTCTGAGAACAACCTTCAGAAAAGTGTTTTCATTCTTTGTCCTCTGATAATCTCATCTAAATACTAATGAGGGGAAAAAACAACTTCTGGGGAGAGAGTATCTTTAGATACTTGTGTTTTGTTTTGTTTTTTAACAAAAAAAAAACAATTGAAGGGAGATGTTGACAACCTGGAATGTGTCCAGAGGAGGGTGACTAAAATGATCAAGGGTCTGGAGAATAAGCTCTATGAGGAGTGGCTTAAAGAGCTGGGCATGTTTAGCCTGAAAAAGAGAAGGCTGAGAGGAGACATGATGGCCATGTATAAATATGTGAGGGGAAGTCATAGGGAGGAAGGAGCAAGCTTGTTTTCTTCTGCCCTGGAGACAGGGATGAGGAACAATAGCTTCAAATTACATGAAAGGAGATTCCATCTGAACAAGAGGAAGAACTTCCTAACTGTGAGAGCTGTTCATTAGGCCTGGGTAACAACGGAAAAATTTGTTTCTAAAATCGATTCGTTTTTTGGGGGTTTTTGCGTTTCGATATTTAAAAGAATTCCGAAATTTTTCTTTTAAAAAGTTCGATGTTTACGAAATTTCGTAAATGTTAAAAAAATTACGAAACATTAACGAAAAAATTACGAATCGATTCGTTAATGGCGGACGCGACCGCGCAATACGCTAAAAAAACCTCCAAATGGGACAAGGGGAACTTCTGAAGCTTCCCTCTCCCTCTGTTGTTGACTGTTGGTGTGATATTATAATTTTTTTTCACTAATTAAACAAAAAACAACTATAAAACTTGCCCCAGACATGCGGAAATAATAACGAAACGACCTCAAACCGATAACGAAACGAATACATAACGAATCCGAAGCATTTACGAAACGAATTTAAAAATTCGTTTCGTTTTTAAGTTGCTCCAGAATGGTTCGTTATCGCTTCGTTATAAAAAAAATAACGAATTTTTAACAAATTACGAATTAACGAAACGAAACCGCCCAGCCCTACTGTTCATCAGTGGAACTATCTGTGACAGAGTGTAGTGGAGGCTCCTTCTTTGGAGGCTTTTAAATAGAAGCTGGATGGCCATCTGTCAGGGGTGCTTTGAATGCAATCTTCCTGCTTCTTGGCAGGGGGTTGGATTGGATGGCTCACGAGGTTTCTTCCAACTCTATGATTCAATTCTATGATTCTGTGAATGTTACCAAAAGGAAGTAGCATATGTTTCATGAAAGAAGAGTGGCAGGAGAAACCTAAGACCTCACAACCACTGAGGATGCATGCCATAGATGCAGGCAAAACGTCAGGAGAGAATTCTTCTAGAACATGGCCATACAGCCCAAAAGACCTATGACAACACAGTGATTCCGGCCATGAAAGCCTTCAACAATACACAGAAAACTAAGTGTTTTGTTAATTATATTGAAATAATAAGAGTATTAAAGAGAATTGTCCTAGTCAAATAAAATTACTCCCAAAGGTTTCAGTACATTTAATGCACATTTAATGATCTTTACATGTGATGAAAAGGAAGGAAGCTCCCCATACAATCAGAGAGACTGTTCTAGCAGCCAGGAGCCCATTACTATCTTGATAAATAGTTCTTCTATTAAAGATACACATAATATTGTTAAGTGTATTGATAATGTGTCCTCAAAGGCTTTCATGGCTGGAATCACTGGGTTGCTATGAGTTTTCCAGGCTGTATGGCCATGTTCCAGAAGCATTCTCTCCTAACATTTCACCCACATCTATGGCAGGCATCCTCAGAGGTTGTGAGGTCTGTTGGAAACAAGGAAAGTGGAGTTTATATATCTGTGGAATGTCTAGGGTGGGAGGTTTCCAACAGACCTCACAACTTCTGAGGATGCCTGTCATAGATGTGGGCAAAACATCAGGAGAGAATGCTTCTGGAATGGCCACACAGCCTGGAAAACTCACACCGACCCAGTGATTCCAGACATGAAAGTCTTTGATGACCCAAAATACCCAGAAGTTACCAGTTCTTTCAACTGAAATGTAGCACACAGCACCTTGTATTTGGTATCCCATCTGCATACTAACCATGGCTGAGACGAAGCCTAACTGGATAGAGAATGAACCTTTAGTACAGTCATGGACAAACTTTGGCCTTCTGGGTGTTTTGGACTTAAACTCCCACAATTACTGGCCTCAGGCCTTTTCCTCCCCCCCCCCACCACCACTTAAGGGGCCTGAGGTTGTTAGGAATTGTGGGAGTTTAAGTCCAAAGCACCTGGAGGGTCCAAGTTTGCCCATGCCTAGTCTACACTGACCATAGTTCAAACTGCATTATTTGACAGTGTAGACCTAACCATACCATATAAGGAGTTGGAGAAGATTTCTCAGAGCTTAACTTTTGCAACCAGTGGCTATTTTTCCCTGGAAAAGGGAGTTTTAATGTGCTTGTAGGGCAGGCATGGGCAAACTTTGGCACTCCAGGTGTTTTGGAATTCAATTCCCACAATTTCTAACAATCTCAGGCCCCTTAAGTGGCTGAGGGGGGAAAGGAAGGGGCCTGAGGCCAGGAATTGTGAGAGTTGAAGTTCAAAACACCTGGAGGGCTGATGTTTGCCCATGCCTGCCTTAGTAGTTGGAGAATAAAATCCCAGCCATAGGTAATACAAAAAAACAAACAAAAACAAATCAACCCTGCTCTGCGGGACTGAACTAAATGTGGCCCTCTCCTGGTGTTCCAGGGCCCTTCCACAAGGCCCTCTATCCCAGAATATCAAGGCAGAAAATCCCACAAGATCTGCTTTGAACTGGGTTATCTGAGCCCACACTCAGATAATGTGGGATTTCTGCCTTGATATTCTGGGATATGGGGCTGTGTGGAAGGGCCCCCAGGTCACCTCTAGCCTTCCTGCGTGGCCTGCTGTGGCCTTTCGTGGAGCTGGCAAAAAGTGTTCTTCTGCCACTGATTTGGAGTATTCCCTCCGCCTTTTCCAAGTCTCCCACGCCATCGCAGCAGTGAGGGGAAGATGGGTTTTCGCAGCACGTGGACTGTGGGTGAAACCGGTGTGATTTGGGAGCGAAAGAGGCAGCGGGGCTCTCCTTGCTGGGAAATTGCAGAGAAAGAGATCCACGAGGAAGGAAGGACCGTGGAATTCGAAGGGCGATTGTGGCGTCTCTTTGGTCCACAGAGGCAGGACCAGCCCATCAGTCGGGAGTGCTTGGGGGTCTCTTCCAACTCGGTGACTCTTCTCATTCAGTCGACGTTCAACCAACAGGAGCCGGGTGTGTGAAGCTCAACCCCAGTCCCGATTGCCTCAACTGGGGCGAACGTATGGATGGGTTCAAACTCTAGCAAAGTCAGAAAGGAAGGGGAGGGAAGGGCTGGGTCCTCGCAGGAGAGGCGGCGGCGCTGGAGAGGGAAACGCTTTGTATTGATGGCCTGGCCGAGCGGAGAGGCTGCAGAGTGAGCGCTTCTCGCCTCCTAAGCCGGAGCAGGAGAACCTCGCACTCCCTGGCCCCACTGCAGCCCTTGCCGAGTCGCTTCCGAAGCAGGGAGGGAGCCTGAGCCCACCATCCAAGGGAAGCCCAGGGCTCCCCTCCTCCCTCCCTCCCTCCCCGAGCTCAGCCAGGAAGGGCTCCCGTTCTGGGCCGCCTCCTCCTCCTCCTCCTTTCCCTTTAGCCGCAGTTGGGCGAGGGGGACTCGAGAGCCAAGCGTCGGGCCCGGAGATGGGCTGGGGAGGGCCTCTCCGCCAGCCTCGCCCCTCGCCCTAGCACCCCCTCGCCTCCCCGGAGGGACTSTGYCCCGCCATGGAGACCAGCATGAAGAAGTTCACCGTCCGCCGCTTCTTCTCCGTCTACCTCCGCAAGAAGTCGCGCTCCAAGAGCTCCAGCCTGAGTCGCTTCGAGGTAAATCAAGCCGGGGAGAAAGGCAAAGGGTCCCTCTGCTCCCCATCTTTCATCCCTCCCTCCTTCATCCTCCCCTCCCTTCTCCATCCCACCATCCATCCACCCTTCCTTTGGCAATAACATCGTGGGGCGTCAGGAGAGATGGTTGCGGTTGGCTTTTTGGTTTCCTTTCCAAGCACCCGCTCACTTTGGATGCGTCTATTCTGCGGCTCTTTCCTTGTTTGTTTTTTTAATCTCCCTCCCAGAGGCTTGTGTTGCTCTCACCACAACTTCGCCAGAAAGGCTAAAAGGAGACTTCAAAAGGTTCCGTGAATTTCCTAGGCTGGGTCTACACGGCCAAATAATGCAGTTTGAACTCATTTTACGGCTCTACACCAGTCATGGGCATACTTGGACCCTCCAGGTGTTTTGGACTTCAACTCCCACAATTCCTAGCAGCCGGTAGGCTGTTGGGAATTGTGGGAGTTAGAGTCCAAAACACCTGGAGGAACCAGCTGTTAGGAATTGTGGGAGTGGAGTCCAAAACACCTGGAGGCCCGGGTTGTTAGGAATTGTGGGGGTTGAAGTCCAAAACACCTGGAGGTACCGGCTGTTAGGAATTGTGGGAGTTGGAGTCCAAAACACCTGGAGGTATTAGCTGTTAGGAATAGTGGGAGTTGAACAAAATACCTGGAGGGCCCAAGTTTGACCATTCCTGGTTTACACTGATCATATAATGCAGTTCAAACTGCACTATTTGGCAGTGTAGACTCAAACATACTAAATAAGGAGTTGGAGAACATTTCTCAGAGTTTAGCTTTTCCAACCAGTGACTATGTTTCCCTATGTTTAAGGTGCTGGCAGGGCAGACATGGGCAAACTTGGGCTCTCCGGGTACTTTGGACTTCAACTCCCACAATTCCTAACAACCTCAGGCCCCTTAAGTGGCTGAGGGGGAAAAGGAAGGGGCCTGAGGCTGTTAGGAATTGTGAGAGTTGAAGTCCAAAACACTCTGAGGGCCCAGGTTGGCTCATGCTTGTTGTAGGGACTATCTGTGCTGCTTGAGAAGTTGTTGATTTCCAGGCTGATTCAATTGAGGGCTTCTGTGTAATTTAGAAATCTTGAGAGCTACCAGGTGTCTTCTGGATGCTTTAGAGTGAAAGGTATACAGACCTTAAACTATGGGCCCCATTCCCAAAAGGGGTCCCTTTCACTTAGTTCTGGGGCCACGAAAAAAATTGGCAATGGTAAGCAACAAAGTGCAGTGTTTACAGTAAACGCTGCAGAAAATGCTTCATCTGTACTTCATAACAAGAAAAATCAACCTGTTTAGCAAGCCTTGGTTGTTATCAGTAAATGTTTGATTTTGGCACTAATTTTGTATACTTATATATCTGGGTCACATAAAATGTATCCAGCTGGAAGGGGTCTAGCATGCAAAAGGTTAAAGTTGTCCTGGCTGAGACCAGTCAATGTGGTGGTCCCTGGACCAAGGCTGGTCTCTCAAGCCTTGGCTGCTGTACACTGGCAAATCTCCAGGAAAAAAATCAGTTAGTTGAAATTTTTAATGGCTGGAATCACTGGGTTGCTGTGAGTTTTCTGGGCTGTATGGCCATGTTCCAGAAGCATTCACTCCTGACGTTTCACTTGCATCTATGGCACGCATCCTCAGAGCAGTTGCTTGATAATGTCAAACTCTGGCACTCTGCAAGAAAATAATTCCTGATCTCCTGCATCAGACAGCTTGAGAAGTGTTGTTCTAGTCTGGGATTGTTTGTTATTCTTTGATACAGATGATGCAGTGATTCTTGCTAGTCGCTCCTCACAGGAATTTGAGACATTACAAGTGTTATTAATGCAAAGGCATAGCCTTGTCGGTCTGATAGATCCTCATGTAAAGAGATCTTCTAGCACCATAACTTCTAACTGAGAAAAGCTTTTGTAGATGAAATCTGCTTCCTGAGATGCTACCAACTCTATTTTCTCACTCTCTAAAGGTGCTAAAGATCCTTTATCATGCAAATATTTATAAGATCCACAGTACTTACATATGTACCTCAGGCTTTGAATCATCTTCCACCTGGTGTTGCTGGACTGCAATGCCCAGCATTCCACATCACTTGACATTATCATAGTTAGAGCTGCTTGGATATGCAATCTTAATTTTTTGTGTGTTGAGAAACTGCAAGTTGCTTCTGGTGTAAGAAAATTGGCCGTCTGCAAGGATGTTGCCCAGGAAACGCCCACATTTTTTACCATCCTGTGGGAGGCTTCTTTCATGTCCCCACAGGAGAATCTGGAGCTGACAGACAGGAGCTTACCCCACTCCCCAGATTTGAACTACCAACCTTCTGGTCAGCTGTCTTTGCAGGCACAAGGGTTTAACTCATTGCAGGGGCTCCTTGTAATCCAGCTATATGCAGAATATTTTTTCATTCCTATTCCCAAGCATTGCATTGTATATTGCCGGCATGTTTACTTAAGATTTAAATGCCAGTGGGGTTCTTTCAAAGTAATCCTAAATATTCTAAAGGTATCCTGTTTAATTCTGGATGCTAAACAAGGTCAGCCCTGGTTAGGACTTGGATGAGAGGCCACCAATGAATACTAAATGCTGTTGCTTATATTTCAGAGAAAGGAACTGGTATTCCTTGCCTCAGAAAACAGACACACACAAGCATATACAGGATTCCAGCCTGATAATGCACTTCTCTGTGTGCCTGTTTTGAAGTAAAGTCCATTAAGTTCAGTGGACCTTGCTTTCAGGCGAAAGTGTATAGAGCTGTTGTACCCTTAGGAAGGTTTCCCATTCTGTTTTCTCTATTCTCCCCTAATGGTACTAAGCACAGCCACAGAGAATTACTGTAATTGATCTGGTTAGCCTCTAAGAAGATGGTCCTTCTGGGTACTGGCAAACATCATCATCATCATCATTTACAGTATTTAACATCTGCAATAAGCTCAAGCATCACTAGCAATTTCCCATGGGGGGCATGCCTTCTAAAAGGGTAACAAAGAGCTAGAAAAATAAAGAGGTGTAAAAAGTGTGTACTTTGTATTTCTATATGCATGGAAATGTTGGGCTCAGGATATGTTTTTATCTTGTTCTTTGATGCTTCTTTCTCCCACTATTAAGAACTCTGACTTAATTGTTGGGGTTACATGCAGCGGTTGTTAAGCCATTTAATTCTCATATTTAGTCATATATTACAGGTGGAAAATTCTCAAGATACCAAAAGTAAACATTTTTTGCCCCCAAAATAGTGAGTGTCAAGGTTAAGGCACAGAAATCTTTCAAGGGCTATTCTTGGACAATAGAACCTTGAACGGGCTAACCTAGTCTAAATAATTTAAAGCTATTTTCAAAACAATGACTACATGCACTTTACATTTTTGCAGATTTTTGTAGTGCTGTCATAGTTCATAATTAAAATGATACCTGTTGCTTTTGGAAAACCCTTGTTGCTAACACTCTCCTTTTTCATGAATAATTTACAACAGGACAAAGGCTACATTGAAAAATCCTTTTTTGTTTTCCTTGTGTGTAGTCCTAATTTGGACATCTCCTCAAGCATGGAGGGAAATCAAGAGAGCTTGGAGAAGCACCCAGTTTGGAAAGACCTGCTTATTATTATTATTATTATTATTATTATTATTATTATTATTTACAACATAATACACAAAACACCCCAGAGAATCCACATCTAACAACCGCTATGTCAGACAACACAGAGAAGCCATTGAAATCCACAAGCATGAGGACAATTTCAACGGAAAGGAGGAAACCATGAAAATGAACAAAATCTGACTACCAGTGTTTTTTTAAAAAACCCTCTAAAATCAGGACACTCAATAAAGAACAACACTCGGAAAACAGGGGAATTCCAGGCATGAAACAATCAGGGCCAGCTAACACCTTCCAACAAAGGATTCCCCCAGCAGGAATCAGCCAGACCTTGAAGTTGCAAGGTTTTGCAGTGGTAATCAAGGTGATTAATTGCAACATTCACTCTTAACTCCAACAGACAAGAGTTCATTCTCCCACCCTGGACCTTCAACAGATATATAAACTTCGCTTGTCTAGTTTCCAATATACCTCACAACCTCTGAGGAAGCCTGCCATAGATGTGGGTAAAACATCAGGAGAGAATGCTTCTGGAACATGGCCATACAGCCTGGAAAACTCTCAGCAACCCAATCTACATCCTCTTCAGGAAATGGTGAGGAGCTATGCCAAATGAAAGAACACGGTGAAAATCAGTAAACTGCTAGATCAATCTTTCTGGTGTTCAGCAATGTTTCCAAACATCCAATCCCCAAATGGAGGGAATTGATATCAGCATAGATCTTTAAAAGCTGAATAAGGTTGCAGCCAGAGAAGAATATGTACTTTAAACATTCAGAGGACATTCTTTCCAAAGTTACAAGAGCCAAAACTCTTTTCAAATTGATGCCTTGAGTGGTTTCCTTTGATCCTCTACACGGATTGCACTTCTTACATCCTTTGGACATTCTGCTTTCAACAAAACAAAGAGTCTTTAAGCACCTTTAAAGTGTTGCTATTGTTGTGTGCCTTCGAATCATTCCTAACTTATGACAACCTGAGGTGATCCTGTCATGGGAGGACATGGTTCTGGAGTTAAGACAAAAGATTAACTTGTTTTTTGTTTTCAAGGACAGCAGCCCCTTTCATCGTATGCATGGAGTGTAGCCTCAGGAACCAGATTTTGTACACAGGTCTGGGAGAGAAATCTGAAAACCAAAAGGAATTAACAGCAGTTAACCATACTCTTGCTCCTCACCTTTTCTATGCACAGATGTCCTTTCCACTTCCTATTGACTCTTAACTACTCTTAAGCATCCTGCTGGTATCTTTTCTATGTCTATATCCTTTTACCCCACCCATAGTTTACACTTTATGCTTCTGGGAAAGTGGAATACTGCCTGCAAAATCTCATACAAAATAAAACGTATTTGTTATTAAGGTGCCACAATATGTTTTGCTGCAACAGGCAAATCCA